TATAGGGCGCATGCGCTTGCCAGAAAGACAGAGACAGACAGAAAGCAAGAAATCACCCCCCCCTTCGAGGGGGAATGCCGCAATCCCTTCTCCTCCATTCTCCTCTCGGGATCTTGGGCACGCATGCACACGCACCCAGCGTGAGTTTAAGCCACTGGGTCTGGGACTCGAACCGTGGTCGACTACATGGGAGTCCAGTGATGTAGCCATTACGCCAATTGCTGGTCCTGAATCCTGTTTTTTTTTTTTTTTTTTTTTTATCAGATTCTCAGAGGGGTTCTGAATCACAACAACTTAAGAATCAATGACAGTCTCTTAGCTTCTCCCCAGTCTTGACAACCTTCAACTTCACTTCCAAATATCTGTCTAGGTCACCATCATTAGAGACAGTCATGAAATACACTCATATGTACACGGCTCCACTGAGCACAAGACAAAAATAGGAGGAGACAGGACATGCGCCTACCAGGAATATACCGTTATTACGACCATCATCATTAATGTGGGGAGATGAGGGAAGGGCAGGAAATCCTGCTGAGACCTGTCATTATACCGCAGACCAACAGACGATGCACTCAAGCTTCCTCCGACTCGTGCTCTGAGACACCGGGCTTTTTCCCCACCCTGGCAGAAGTTTCAACGGAGAAGCCTATCGTTCATCTCATACTGACACATGTAATAAAACAAAGTAAGTTTAACAGATATGTTTTCTGGTCCCTGTCCCTGCTGCCCTGGGGGTGGGCAGCATATTCATATGTGTATATATGTACACATACATACATGTATATGAGAAAGATCATTTTTTTTGAGAGGTTTTTGCCATAGGCCGCGTGCGCTTGCCAGACAGACAGAGAGAGACAGAGAGACAAAGCGAGAAATCACCCCCAGGGGGTGGCCACACATCCCTTCTCCTCCATTCTCCTCGCAGGATCTTAGGCATGAACACACACACGCCTGGCATGAGTTTTAAGCGAGGGTCCAGACCTCGAACCGCGGTTGACTACATGGGAGTCCAGCGACATAGCCATTACGCTAACTGCTGGTCCCGAGAAAGAGAATGTTTTTAAAAAATAGAACTGGGGTTCTATTTGCCTTAATGGACAAAGAAGTATAAGAACATGTTGAATTGAAAGCAGGCCAGCAGGTGGTGTGGTGGTTAAGACAGCTGGATCCTAGCTGACCAATCACATGGTTCAAGCCCTGAACCTGGCAACCTGAACTACACACTGGGCATGAGGGCACATGTGCCCAAAATCCCGAGAGGAGAATGGAGAGGAAGGGATTGCCGTGTGGCCATCCCTCCTGGAGTGTGCGTGTGTGTGTGTGTGTGGGGGGGTAACTTTCTCCCTTTCCCCTCCCTCCCTCTTTTTTTTTTTTTTTTTTTTCCTTTTTTAAGGTTTTTGCCATAGGGAGCATGATCTCCCCAGAGAGGAGGGAGACAGAGAGAGGAAAAATGAGAAATCACCATCCAGGATACAGCCATGCCTCAGTCCCTTCTCCTTCATTTTCCTCTCGGGATCTTGGGCATACACACACATGTGCTCAGTGTGATTTTCAAGCCACCAGATCTGGGACTTGAACCGTGGTTGGCTGTGTGGGAGTCCAGCTGCCTTAACTACCAACCCACCTGCGGGCCCCTCTCCCTCTCTCTCTGCCTCTTTGGCAAGTGCACAGGCCCTGCAGCAAATATGAAGAAAGGAAGCAGCCAGCTCCTCACGGTTGCACAGTCCCACGGTCAGAGCAGCAATCCTCCCGCTCTGAGCAAACATTCCAAATGTTCCACAACGCCCCTTCTCTCCTAACAGTTTGCAAGTTTGTAGTTTCTGCGGGGTACTGTTTACACTCAGTATCCAAAGCCCTGGGGGTGGGCAGCAGCAATGCAGCAAATGCAGTGCTCTATGATGCTGGCCTCGTGTGGGAAGGTCCTGGGTTCAAGTCCTGCGGCCTCCCTATACCCACTGGGTACTTGTGCACGCCCATGACCTGTAACGGCTGACTATGAGAAAATACTATGGCATGGAGACCCTGTTGGGAGTCGCCTGTCTTCATCTCTCTCGCACGTGCGGAATAAACAAAGAAACCTTAAAAAAGAAAAACTATGGGTACTAAAACTAAAAAGTACAGGTTTTTGGAGGAAGGGAAAAAGATCATAGAATTACAACAATTTGGAATTAGAGACTGCCTCATCCCGTTCCAGCTTACAGACCAGGGAGTCAGAGCCAGGACTCAGGGCAGCCAAGCCCAGCGCCCACGTGGTGTGGGGACAGCACCACCTCCCGCGGGCACTCCGGTGGTATTGGGTTGGAGGTGCGAGCACATGAATGTGGCTCTCGGAAATCCAGGAGAGAGGTTAAGGTGGAACAACGAGGACCAGAAGGGCAGGGAGGAGGGGCTGGGTGGGTGCAGGGTTGGGCTGGAGCCCCCATCTCAGAACGTTGCCCGTTCGTTCACATCAGAGGAGGGGCTCGACCTCAGTCGGTCCGCCCCAAGAGCCAGCAGCACAGGCCGGCCTTGCTCAGCTCATCCGGACCTCCTCACCCTCGGAAGACCCCTCCCAAACTGTGCAGTCAAAAGGCCGGAGATCACAGCAGCCCTGATCGGAGTGGCCCAGAATGGATCCCCCCTTTGAGGACCAGGAGATGACTTTAGGGTTCAGGTGGCCCACAGAGCACGGAACACACCACACCAGGGCCATGGGAGAGGGGCTCCCCCACTGCGCCCCTCAGATGCCATCTCTCACGTGCAGTCTGATCAACCGTGAGCTGGCACGGCATGAGTATGAGTGCATCTGACCACGGCCCAGGTAGGGCAAACGCGAAGAGTAGGTGTGAGCGCTGGAGACCAGTCATGCAGCGTTCCCAGCCAGGACTCTTCTTCCCACCTGGCCTCTCTGTACCCATTCTATAGAGACAGACCCAAGAAGGAAACCATCCGAGCTCGCTCTTATGATAAAGGCGGGGAACCCACCCAGCAGGCGGTTTGCCCACTAGCGGTATGATCTCACGCAGTGGGCACTCAACACAGAAGGACAGAGGATCAACTAAGAGATGACCGCCACCAATGTCCGCAGCCTGGCACAACCCTGCCACCAGCTGACCACACGGGCCAAAGCCACTGTCCACTTCCTCCCATGCCCAGTGCCCAACCCTGCAGGTACAGAGTGACGTCCACATGGTGTTGTGTCCCTTCCCAGACTCCTCTGGAGCGCGGGGTCAAGCCAACCTGCCGTGCTGAATGGAGAATCAGTCTGGGACTGGAGACCGCCATGGATGTGTGAGTGTGGTCCGGAGGCTGACACCTGCGTTCCAATCCCGTCTCTGCGGATACGGATACGAGCTATGGCCTTGAGCGGGTCACCTGACCGCTCTGCACCTGGTGGGTAGGTGATGGGAACATTCAGGGCAGCAGTAGGCTGGTGTGCAAGACGCAAGCCACCACGGTAGTACATGTACATGCTCGAGTAACACGGATCACGACGGTGAGCAGGTCTTACTGGGGTCCCGCTGAACCATTGGTCATTGGTAGCTTCGTGGCAGAGACCAGGAGAGGTGACAACTGGGACATCCAGCTGTGCTGGTTGTGCACAGGAGCAGGCTTGGCCTTGAGGGACCAAGAGCCTGGGAAGCACCTCCTGCCGCTGGCCCTGTGTGAGCCTGGCTGTGACGGCCCACGTTCCGTGCCACTAACTTCGGCGATCCCCCTGGCCGAGGCTGGCCTGCACAGGCACGCCTGTGGGCTGGTCAGCTTGCAAGGCTTTAGAAAGGGGGCAGAGCACACACACTGCTATTTCAGGGTGACTTCTCTGTGCCCCTTCTCTTGCGTTTGGTGGCCCTGAACAGTGGCCTCACCCAAACACCTGAGCCAGAGGGGCTTAGGAACTACCTAGGCTTCTGGCTTTTGAGCTCAGGGTGCAGAAGCCCTGCTTAGGCAGGTGCCCCAGGTCACCCCACTGGTCAGGTCCAAGGAAGACTAACTCTCTCCTGGTATCCAGGGCGGCCTTGCCCCCAGCACACCTGGCACTTCAATTTGTCTGAAATTGGGCTCACTTCAGTCCTGTCTCCAATCTGGACTCCCTGGTGCATAGCAGACTCTCCTTCAGCGCTCCCACCCTGGGACAGCCCCAGTCTCCCCCTCCAGTCCTGTCCTATGGCTCCTGGCACACATGTGTGACCTGCCTGGTGTGACCCGCCCAGCAAGCCTGCTGCTTTCAGGACTGGTCAGCCTGGGCCGTGGGGCCTCTGAGGCCCAGGAGTCCTGCCTGGGTGATGCTAGCACGGGGCGCTGGGGAGGGTTCTGCGCCCCAGAGC